TCAATTCAAGTTCCACCAAGCTCCCAAACCAGATAGCCTGAAAAGGCAGGTCGTAACCATACACCTTTGGTTTACATATTTGCTGACATGTAACCTTTTTCTTCAGAACTTGGAAATTTTGATGGCCTGGTTGGTTCCATTTGACTCCTCCTCAAAGGCCAGCTCTTTGCTCAGTTTCACAAATTCTAGCTCCATTTTATAGGTCTAGTCTTTACAGTAGCACTGTTGAAAGTTTGGGTTACCTCTCTACTCAGATCTTCCAAGTGGGCTTCTGTCCTTCTACCTGGTTCCCATAATTTACACAGCCTAAGGACTTATCTTGGAGTTACATTGCCTGGTACCAGTTTGTGTTCCTTCATATAATGTTGCACGAATGTCTAGACCTTCCAGTCAGGCTGGTATGACATGGGTTACAGGTATCCTATCCCAACTAATCACAGAAGACAGTTAGCTGTAATACAGAAAGAATTGCAAATTTTCGCTATCACTGGGATTTGAACTCTAGACCTGCCACTTGGGAGTTGACAATCTATCCACTTCACTAGGTCGCCACACCCCTAACTTAATATTTGTTTATTTTATTCTTTATATATTTATATATAATCAAATTTGATTAGCAATATAGAATTTAAAATTTTTTTAAACTTTTTTAAAAAAATTAATAAATTTTTTTTAAAATTTTATATGTTAACTAAAAAATAAAAAACTTCTAATAAACTATAAATTTTTTTAAAAGTTTTTTTTTTATTTTTAAGATATTAAAACAGGTTTTTTATATTTATTTTTAACTAAATACTAATTTTCTGTTTTGTTTATTTTTGATAAAAGATTAACAGAAAGAATTTTTTTTAGAGTTTTTTGTTTTAGTTTAATTTTAAAAAATCAATACAGGCAAAATTGGCTGTATTACAATTTAAAAAATAAAATTTATCTAATTCTAACTTCTAACTTTACTTTTAACTTAATATCAAAATAATTAAATTTTTGTTATTTTGAGTTATAACATTACATCAATATTTAATATAAGATAATGCCATGACACTATAATGCTGCAAAAGTAATTTCTAATTACTATATATTTTTAAAAACTATCTAAATAACTAAGACCAAATATATTAAATAAAAATTTCATTATTCTAAAAAACCTTATTTTACCTTATTTTTTATTTTATTTTTTATTCTATAATCGTTAATTCTATTTTAATTTTTTAATTTTAACCTTAAATATTAACAATATAATTATACCAAAAAATTATACATATAGCGTTCAACACTACTGGTGTGATTTATAATAGTTGAAAGATTTTATTTTAATAAATATATATTGTCATATTTGGTATGTACTGTACGTACTGTACGCATATACGATCAGTATTATGTAATATGTATACCATAAAATAATATAACCAATATAATAAATATATACTATTGAAATGATTACATAGACAAAAACTGATCCGTACGTTAAATATACTTCAATTATAAGTACTGATATCATATATACTTTATTTCGAGTTAAAGTTTTGATATAGTAAAAACTAAAATTTCATATTTTAACTTGAAAAGGTTAACCTGTTTTGGAAAATTTTAGCATTGCAAATTTTTTTATAATGTTAATAAATCGAAATTTTTTTATTTACACAAAGAAAATGAAAATGAAATCTATTAAAAATTTAAAGAAATAATTTCAATAGACAGAGTTTATAATGTTGAGTACGTATGTGTACTGTACGTACGTATTAACGTAACAAACATTTAAAAGAAAAAATAATTCTTGCAGTATTTTTTTATTATGCTTATTAAGCAATAACGTTAATCAGAACCTACTATTCCTATATACGTATAGTGTTAGAATTTTACCTATAAATTTTCCGATAATGTTACACGACTTTTAATTTAACTGGATTTTTTTTTACAAACCAATTTATTTTTGATTTTTTTATAAACCATATCGATATATAAATATATGCATATGATGTTACCTGATATATAGATTCATTTAAAAAACAAATACGCAAATAAAAATAGGGTTGAGGGACTAATATAAAAAAATCCATTAATCTATATAAATTAATGAAACCTTTTTGTTCTGGATCTTTGTTCTGAATCTTTGAATTCAAGATAAAAAGATCGGCTACGATAGATAGGAAGAAAGAAATATCTATAAATAGTTAGGACTTAATAACTTTGTGCACCACAGGATATATTAGTGATAATTTTTTTGTTCTAACCCTTGTATTATTTTTTTCTATTTCAGCAGGTTAATAATTTCGTCGTTGACGTCGTGTTATAGATTTTGGCGTTATCGTTTTTTTGTCACTGGAATCGTTGTTATGTTAATTGGGGTTTAGAGTAGTTATTAGATAGTATTTCTGTAATGTGATTGTTTGCAGTCGGATAGTTGACTATTAAGTCAATTTTATTGGTTAACGCCAAATCGACTATAATCATTAATTCCTAATACATATGGGCTGTTAGCGATAATAAACGTATATACACGCAAAAATTTTTTTATATGTAAATTTATTATATTTTATATAAAAACGTCACATTGTATGATTCGCAATATATATTATATAAGCAGCCCACTATTCGATATGTTTAAATTCGAATTTTAATAAATTCATATAAATTCGGATAGATTCGAATTTGCGAATATTATTACAAGTCCCATACTACAATCCTACTTCCTCATATTAAGACGGGTTCCAAAGATGGTTAGATCTATCGGTATTCAAAGACCTATGATAACATCGTCTGTTCTTTCAGTATTACCCATATCAGGTGATTTTTGACGATGTTCGAATGACTTCTTTCATTTATTGACTTTTAAATTGCCACTAAAATCTCAGTGAAATATGGTGAGTTACCTCAACATCTCAATACAAAGGCATGGTTTCACGTTTATTAATTTTATTTAGAACGAAATTGAAAAAAAATTATTTTCAATTTCAAGGTTGCTTAAATTGTTGTTTACATACAACATATTGCAAACACCAAAGAACCGATTTTCATCATGACTATATTCATTTATCTTATTAAGCAATTAATTAAATTATACCTATCTGTTTCATGTGCTCGTTCGCATGATATTATAATAACAGCACTTTTGAATCTAATTCGTTTCATTGACTTCTGTCAACTTGAATATAATCAACTTTAAACTTTATAATGAATACAAGCTATAGAAATTTGTTATAACCATTTTTAATAGTGACTTGTTACATATTGCAACTTATTGTAGCAGTTTGTTGTATAACAAATTTATATAATAGTCTAAACAGTCTAACAGTATAGCAGCTAAAAATAATTGTTTATAATCTTTAACATTTTATAATAATGATTTTGAATATTCAGACATTCAAATAATGATTTTGAATATTCGGACATTCAAATAGTCAATTCCAATCTAATTCCAATCTCTACTCTTCTGTATCTGTACACAATTTTATAAATACATTAGAACAAAAGTTATTATTTATATATATAAGAAAATTTTTAAGTAATTTTAATGTACCTCTAATTCTTCCGATCATACCGAGCACACCAAGGCCATATTGGAAGTGACCGAGATTAAGGAATCCGTCCTCTGTGTATCTTTCATTTATGTATTCGTGCCATTCAATGCGACAATAAACGCAAGTAACCTAATTTATAATAAAAAAATTTGAATTTTTTCATTACATTAACAAAATATTCATAAATTAACGTATTTAGACATACTTTTGTAAAAACCCTCGATCCCTTCCATTGAAGAAAGCATTCTTTATGAATATTATTTCCACAACCGTTTTGACACCATAAGATCTTATCCTTTTGTTCGGGTGTCAAAGCTTCATAACTAGAATATAGATTTTAGGAGTTAATATAACGATATTGAAAAAAAATGTATATATAATGTAAGTAATACCATATTGGACAATCTCCTTCAATAGGACGACGTTTTGGGCCAAATTCACGTCCAGTTTTTCCTCTAGAAATCGCATAATATAACGAACGAACACGATAACTTGCCTAATAAGAATTTTAGAATAAAATTTGTAATCAATTATTCGAACCAAAAATAAATTCTAAAATAAACATATATATTGGAGTTGTACCAGAGATGTGAGATCGGGGGATCTTGAGAATATCACTCTAAGTTCCTTGGATATGAGTGCTTTTTGATAAATGAGTTGGCTTTTTGGACTAACACGTAAGATTTTAATATATACAAATAACTATATATTGGATTGTTAAAAATACGTTAGAATTTACAATTATATATAAAAAGTGGACGAATAATATTAATTATAATATATACAATGTGTTTGCACGTGAATCCTATAAAATAGGAAGTTTTTTTTTTAATTAGTCACAAGTTAATAACGAGAAATAAAAAGTAAATAGAAATAAATTAACTATTAAATTAATTATATACCTCCTTGAAAATCTGGACAAGTACAGTTAGGAATGTGAGAAATAGTAACGGTATAAACCTGATTTAGTAGAATAAAATTATTTTTAAAATTTATATATACGATTTGGTTTGAATTGAAAAAAAAAGTCATTAATAAAAGCATACATTTCCAGTTGATCCTAAAATTGCAAATTCTTTTTTTATCGGGCTAAGATCTTTTCTATCGATCAAATACATACGTTGAGAAGTGGCACGATTAATACGATCCTTGATTTTCTAAAAAACCGTAAATTCATTAATAAATAAAACAGTTAATTAGGAATAATTAATAATAATTAAATAATAATTAAGGATGATTAGGCCAAAAAGATATACTCTAGAACAGATGGTTCGAACGCGTGCTAGTCGTTTTTCTACGTTGTTAGGAGACTTCTTTTTCTTCTTTTTTGGTCTTGAATTTTTCACGCTAATATTTTCGGCTTTCCTTTTCCCTTTTTTATCAGAAGTTGAATTATCGTCGTATACAGCTTTTCCTTTCCCTTTTTTAGATGATGATGATGAAGATGAAGATGAAAAAGAAGAAAACGACGACAGCGACGATGATGATGATGCCGCTGATGATGAAGCCAAACTTTCTTCACTATCACTAAGTTCATCCAAGTCCATTGGAATCTCATCGTTAACACCAAGAATGATAGTAGTAGCAGTAATGGGAGCAATAGTAGCAGTAATGGGAGCAATAGTAACAATGGGGTCGATGGTATCAATTGAAAAACTAGCTTGAGAAGAGGAAGAGGAAGAAGCTTGAGAGGAGTAAGAAGAAGAAGCTTGAGAGGAGTAAGAAGAAGAAGCTTGAGAGGAGTAAGAAGAAGAAGCTTGAGAAGAAAAAGAAGAAGAAGCTTGAGAAGAAGAGGAAGAAGCTTGAGCGGCGGCAGCAGCCCGAGCGGCAGAACGAGTAACAATGGTTCGAGGAGGAATGGTTCGAGAGGAAGTGGCTCGAGAAGTTGCTCGAGAAGAAGTTACTCGAGAAGAAGTTGCAGTAGGCGTTGTTGCTTGTTGAACGGGTAGTCCGCGACGTTTCGTAACCGAAGAATTGCTCATTTTGTTGGATCAAAACTTGTAAACGCGTAAAAAGAAAAGAGTGAATGACAACAGTCAACAGTAAACACGAATATAAATAATAACTTTCAGTCACGTGAGATTTAGAGATCACGGAAACATTTAAAACTCCGCAAATAAAGTTTACTCACGGGTATATATATTACTTACTGTTTTAGTTAAAAATAACTTAAAAAAGATTCAGATACTCGCCGATCTGGGAGTATGATTATTATTTTTTTTAAGTGTTTACATATACTATACTGTATCTGATGAATTTTCTAGAATATAGTAATTCTGTAATTTGGTATATCCATTATTCTAGTAATTCATAAGTATATCTTATATATATATGTATATATGTGTGTAAATGGTTCATTATTTTGTATCATTATTTGTTATGAATTTTCTTAAACTAAATTTGTAGTCATACGTATAATTGTTTTTTTTTTCAATTATTATACGTAAAAAAAAAATAGCAATTCGATCAAAATAATTTATATCAAAATTTGGTTACATTATTTAAAAACCTGCAAGATACATGAAATAAAAATAAAAATTATTTTTAGAAATTTGCATTGATTTTTTATTGGTTTCGTTTAATTTAACAATTATCAGTTGTTGATAGTAGTTAATGTAGTATATACTGTATAACTGATACAGTTAAGTATGTTGATGCGTAGGTACATAAATCGATTCATAGCTTACAGCAATAGCAATAGGTACTTAGTATGTAGATTGGCGTTCACCTGTTGCGTCGATAACTACGTAGGTACTTGCGTAGATTCGTAAGTATGTAGGCTAATAAATTTCTTATGATGAATCAAGCATTTTGATAGTCAAAATATATGATGTTTTCACACGATACGATGAGATGTTTAAAATGTGAATGACATTACGTAATAAACATAATAAACGAATAATGAATATGATAAACGAATAATGAATATAATAAACGAATAATGAATAAAGTTGCTATTTTTGAAATATTAACCAATCGGGAGGTTTCTATAGGATACGTAAACAAATAACAAACAAAGAAAATTCGGATATGTATTAATTTTAGATCATCTTGTGAAACATACGAAACGAACAATTTTTATCAATAACATAATAAATTAACTAAGTAAAAAACCTTGAAAGTTTCGATTTGTATATATATATTTTTTTTCACACTTTAATACACTTTAATAAATAAATAAATAATAATACAAATATGCATATATCAAAGCTTAGACAAAAAGAATCAAAGAAATATTGCGAAAATAATGTGACCAAATATTTTCCACCAAATTCATCAATATATTAAAAAAAAGAAGAATTAAAAGGGAATAAATAATTTTCTTGTAAAACAAAAAAAAAAAAAAAACAAAAAAATATTAATACAAAAGTTTTGTAATATCGTAAAGTTAATGGTTTGACATAGAATAAAAATAGTAATAGTAGATACTTTGGCAACCTTAATTTTTTATCTTTTTTTGATAATGATAATTATAATAATCCAACTTCTCTCAAATTAGTTTGAATAATAATGTCGTTAACAGCTGCCATGACAAACTTTATTTGTTGGGTATCAGTGGCACAAGTGAAATGTGTATAAATTTGTTTAGCATCACTTTGGTTCAATGATACAAATCTATTAAGTATATAATCACAAGCAGCGTCATAATCATCACCGCCATCATAGTCAGGGAAGTAATTTGCCATTGGAGAAATTGGTAATTTTTCCTGGAACCGATCAATTTTGTTCAAAAATAGGATTATTGAGGTCTTCACGAACCATCGTGAATTACAGATTGAATCAAAAAGTGTTAATGCTTCTTGCATACGATTCTAGAATTAAAATATAATAGTTGTTGTAATAATTATAATAGTTGGTATAATAGTTATAGTAGTTATAGTAGTTATAATACATACCACAGTCTCATCTTCGAGTAACAATTGATCATATTCGGAAATGGCAACCAAGAACACTATGGCAGTTACGTTCTCAAAGCAATGAATCCATTTCTTACGCTCCGAACGTTGACCACCAACATCAAACATGCGGTAAGTCAATTCACCAATGAAAAATGTAGTTTCAGTAATACCAGTGGTCTTTACACGCGATCGTAGTACATCTTGATTAGTTGGGAAATAATCAGTCTGAGAAATTCGATCAATTGAATCAAAGTAACTAAATAAAATGAAATATATAATTAATTAAATTATTACATTGTTATTTTTTTTAAAAAAAAGAATGTTGTAAATGAGAACGGAATTTAAGAGAATTTGTTAATTCTATTTATATTATTTATAAAATTTTAATTCGAAAATTCTAATTAAGAAATTCCAAATTCACTTAAATTTCACCATAAATAAAAAAAAGAAAACTCACTATTTAGCAGAATCATTTAATTGATATTCTCTTGATCGACTAAAGCATTCCTGTACACCACTGTCAGCCCATAGAATTTTGATAGAATTCGAAACATTAGAAGGCAAATGGTCACCTTCTATTTGATTTGGCATATTAAGAATTATCATTGATTGTTTCTTGGCATCCTCACTGCGAAATGAAATGTTCATCATTTCCATAGCTTCCAATATGACTCGCATAGATTGGACAGTATTAGAAAAGATTATTTCTTTAAATGATTCTCTCTCTTCAGCAGAATAACCACCATCATGAATAAGTTTCATTTGTTTAAGAATAGTTGATTTTCCTGACTCTCCAGCACCTATTAATTAATAAAGTTGCTCAGTATATAATTAACAATAATTAACAATAATTAACAATAATTAACAGTAATTAATAGTATTGACAATATTAACGCTAAGAACGTATACAAGAATACTTTGATTTCAACTCGTGTATAATACCACTTTAAACCTTACCTAATAGGAGCATTTTAATTTCGTTCCGCATTAACATCTTGTCTCTCTTGAGCTGATTATCGATCTCATCGTTTTTCCTCTTCCCTTCTTGATCCTCTGCGCTCATGCAACAACCCATTTTGTAAATCTATATAGTTGTAATAATGATAGCAAAAGTAATAATAATAATAATACTAATAATAATAACGTGAAAAGAAAGTAGAGCGATAAAGTTTTTTTTAATTAATGTATAGTATTTTTTTTTTTCTTCTATTATTTTATTCTATAAAAAAATAGGTCAAAAGAAAGTCACTTTTAAGACGATATAGAAAGATTGAAGAGCAAAACCTGGTAGTAATAATAGTAATAATAAAATAAATAATAATAAAAAAAAAAGTGTCGGTAAAAAATGGTAAGTCTACTACTAGCTTACTACAAAGATACAAAAGTAGGCTTTAAAAGAATAGGGGACATTTTGAAGTACCAAAAGGCCTTTTAAAAGAAGGTACGAAACTAAAATAAGAAAGTTACAATATCTCGTAATTAATTGGATGAACACAAATAATTACAGAATTTATAGAATTATGTAAGTATATTCTTTTTCAATATGTACTAAATTTAATTTGGTTCAAAGGTTACTCTGACAATGAATTTTAAACTATGCGGGGTATTCCAAATCAGAACGTGCGCATATTTAAAATCCTGTTAATTTATAATTATTAAAAGCCAAAGATAAATATAGAATACCTTGTTAAAGTAATGAATGCTGTTACAATTGATCGACACAAATAGAGATTATTAAAAAAAAAAGAAGGTATAACATAGGTATAACATAGGTAGTAACAAGAAATTAGAAGAATCCTTATTATCAATTACAGAATTAATAAATTACAGATTTCCTTGTTCGGAAATTCACAATTTATTTTAACGTTGTACATATCATAATTCACCATAGGTATTTCCGCTCAAGGTATTTCCGGACGATTTATGATTCATTAATTCGCTGTATAATGTATCACAATAACGATACACGCGGATTTACAAATCATCGGAATCACTTTTTTCTGATAACGATCCCGATTTACCAATAATTATTTAGTTGGTTGGTTATAAGGGTCTTTTTTCCTTTGTGTTATTCGGTTATTTGTAAACACTATCGCTATGTCGCATATTTCCATAATTTGTATAACTTGAATAACTTGTATGTATAACTTGTATGTATAACTTGTATGTATAACTTTGTATAACTTGTATGATCTAGTGAACCAATCCATCATTGATTCATCCATATAAGTTAAGTATGCTGTTTAATGCTACTAACATTCGACAATAATTTCACACTTTCACGTGATCGATTCTTTACCTTTTATGTATGTATGTACTTACGTACTGATATGTATTACCTCCCTCTTTTGGTATCCGCATGTTTATTCTCATATCTGATATCTTTTAGTATCCCTGGAATCCGAATACGTACTACCGTATGCTGTTTTTAACCCTGAAACATTATCATGAGATTTGAGCATCTCGTGGACAAATATATATAATATATGTATATATATATTGTTATAGAGTATTTTATACAATAATAATATTTTTGAACATTGTTACAATAAACAAAGAGATACTAACTTGAAACATTAATATTGCATTAAGGTTACATGATATATGGCTAATGATTTTCACGAATTTACGAATGGGGCAATTATTGTTCCAATTCCATTTACTTACAATTACTTACAATTACTTATAATTGCTTACAATCACTTATAATTACTTACATAATATGTATCATATCAAATCGTTAAACCCCTACAATGTTCTACGTATAACCATATGATACCTGATACGTATATATATATATATATATATATGCGCATACACGTACTAACATTGCGCATATACAAACTGTTAAGGATTTTTAATTCAATACGTACGTACTTTTAATAATGTATTTCGTATTTAATGTTTATCTGTCGATTCAAATCAATGTGTACGTATGATCGTAACATGAGTGTGTTGACTTGATGTTCAATGCGTAGTGATCGTAAATTGTGAATGTGTGCACATTGTCATCAAATCTTATCTCTGTAAAGTTGGTAAAATTGTGCAAAATTGTGCAAGATTACGCAGCGAACAATTATCTATCATCATCAATATTTTGTAAATTTATATTGTTTTTGTTTCACATTAATTCATATTGATATCATCGATAATATTGATATCATCGATATCAATCTTGTTAATTTAATTATCTATCAATTTACCCAATGTTGAACTGCTCACAAATGTTGCATGTTTCACTATCGCAGACTCACTACGTACGTACGTATTCACATTAATTTGATTTACTACCATTTTCTATAATAATCTATAAGAAAACTTTCTTATGTTCACATGTTCCGGAATTTATATAACCCGTCGTCGTTAAATTTACGTTAATCACAATTTCTAATTAATAAATAAAGTTAATAATGAATCTGTGACAGCTTCGATCAGTTATTGTACGTGCGTACCAACCGTAAATAGTTTATACCAGATATATATATATATATATACATATATATATACATATATATATACATATATATATTTACATATATGTATATGTATATCTGTATACGTATATATAATGTTTAAGTTTTTCTTTTTGGTTAGGTAGCCCCTGCAAAAATTTTAATTTTAATCTTAGCACAGTCATCAAAGCTTATGAATTTTATTTTTAATAATATATAGCTTCAAATTTTCTTAGTTAGGTCCATTTTATTATTTATAATTCAAATTTCTCAAAAATACTTCGGTAGCACCAAATATAATATTTGGCGATTAATGCAGGAGAACTTCTTTTTGTTTCTATATAGATATTATTTCTAAATAAAAATAGATGTATTGTATTAATAGGAAATTACTTTAAATAAAAGTTTTATTACGTGCGTATTAAATTTTTATGTAAATATATATGCATTTATAAAATTAGGAAAATTAGGTCAGTTTAAATTGTATTGTTCAAATCTCAAAATTTTACTATAATTACTACATATAATGATAATATGTAATTTGATGCGAATTGAATAATATTAAATTATACAAATCAAACTTTCTACAAAATATAAAATATTTTTATTGTGATTTATTGCAGTTTGCATAATTCTGTGAACTTTGCAAATTAATAACAAAAAACCTTAAGAAATTGCTTGATTATTGGATGCTTTCTAATATTCCGATGTAAAAAAATTCATATCCAAATACATATCTAATATCAGAATAAATTTAAAAAAAACTAGAAATTATCCAATAATCAAGCAATTTCTTAAGGTTTTTTGTTATTAATTTGCAAAATTATGCAAACTGCAATAATGATTAATAAAATTAATAAACAAATATTATTTCTCTAAAGTTGCGAAATATTAATACGTATTAATTACTAAAAAATTAAAATAATGCCTCCTTTGTTGATATTTTATTAAAAATTGCAAATGTTTATATATTTTTAAACATTTATTAAATAAAAAAATTTTACTATATATATTAAAAATTTTAAATAGTTTGTATCTTGATGGATATAATAAATAAAACTAATTTAAAAATATTATAAAGTTTAATATTATAATTGCAATAGTTTATATTAGTGTTGGCAGCAATAAATGAATAAACTAATAAAACAATAAAATAATGCAATAGAATTTAGAATAAAATAAAATTTTTGTTAATAAAACAATAAATTTTCAAAACCATTCTAATTTAATATTAATATAGCAATAAATAAATAAAACAATAAAACAATAAAATAGAGCAATAGAAATTAGAATAGAATAGAATTTTTATTAATAAAACAAAAAATAAACAACATCGGTTTATATTATAAAAAAAAATAAAAATATTAATAAAGATTAGTTAATATTTTGTTACAACTCTTTTTAATAATTTTTTAGTTAACAACAATAAACTAAATTATACAAAAATTTTATAGTAAAACACAAAAAAATATTATTTTTAATTTTATATGAAGTAAATTTTTTTATTAAAGATCATATTTATAATAATTATATTATTAACATATTGGAATTTTTATATTATTTTTATAGAAATAAGGATACAACTAGCTATATATGCAATTTTTAGTTGTCTATTTTAAGTAGTTCTTCTAGAATTCTATACTAAATACTATATCTATAATTTATTAGTAAATTATATATTTATTTAAACTTTCTAATTATTTGCTTTATTAACTATCTAATTATTATTAAACTTTCTGTATATACTTAATTAGTATACTGTTTAAGTAACACTATATCTTTTTTTAAACTACATTCTAAATTATTATATATTTCAAAGCATGCTATTTGTTAGTAAAGTTTAGAAAGTTTTTTTGTTAATTACTAACTTATTCTATAGATTATTAACAAAAACTTGCTTTTGTAAAATTTACTTATATCTTAGTATCTATTTTATAGTATGTCTTTAATATTTTTAATATATTTCTGCTTTGTTTTTAGACTTTTAATTTAGATAGCTCAAAAAAACTATAACCTATTCTTAATATATTAAATTTGCTTTATATTCTTTTTTTTAGATTAATCTAACAATCTAATTGGTAATACCCCTTATTTAAAAATTCTTGTTTGTCTAATTTTTTTATATTGGTATCTGTTTTCTAGATTTAGCTTTTATAATAGTATAATAAAAATCTATATTATCTTTTTACTTATATCTTTCAAATAAAATTTTTATTTTTTTCAGTTCTACAAATTTACACAATTACAAAGACTTATTTTAGATTTTTACTATTCAATATTAGTTTGCATTTCTTTTTGTAATTAATATTATACAGATGCTCTATAATCTGCTAATTATACTAATGTAATTATTGTTATAAATACTTATTTTAATTAATCAACAAAATGTTATTATATATAAATAATTATTTAAATTTTTGTTATTAATAAATTTTGAACTTACAACTTATTAATTAAAAGATTAATAGCTTATTTACTTTATTAAGTTATTATATTTTTAAAATAAATTGTTATTAGCCAAATTAAAAAGATATAAAATAAAATATAATAACTTAAAGTAATTAATAAGTTGTTAACTCTCAAATAATAGATTTAGTATTCAAATTTTACTTATAATAAAAAT